TTCTGTGTAAAAATTGATGAATTTTGATATTAATATGATTAAAGTTGACTTTGATCAATATTTTGGGTAAACGGACCCGAACCCGTGATTGGACGGTCCCGGAAGGTCCGTAGAAAAATATGAGACTCGGGCATATGCCCGGAGTCGAATTCCGAGGTCTAGAGCCCGAGAAATGAATTTTTCTGTGAAATTGTTTTTTAGAAATTAATATGGAAATTTAAAAAGGGAATTGATTAGAACGTGTTGGTATCGGGCCCGTGTTTTGGTTCCGGCGCCCGGTACATGTCTTATATGTGGTTTAAGCGATTTCTGAGAAATTTGGTTGAAATCGGACATCATTTGACGTGTTTCGGACCTAAATATCTAAAAATGAAAGTTTATGAAGTTTGATGAAAAAGTGATGATTTTGAGGTTTGATTCCTCGTTTTTGATGTTATGTTGGCGATTTGATCGCATGGTTAAGTTCGTAGGATGTTGTTGAGTTAGTGCATGTGAGTGGTTAGGAGCCCCGAGGGCTCGAGAGTGTTTCGGAGGTATTTCGGAGTGATTTCGAACTTAGGAAAGTAGCAGGTTTTTGGCTTCAGCTGTTGCAGGCTATTTCTTCTTCACGTTCGCGATGCCTCTTCCGCGTTCGCGAAGCTTTAGACTTCTCCTCCATCGCGTTCGCGTCCATTATCATGCGATCGCGTAGTGTTATTGGACCCTGAGGTCTTAGCCCTCTTTTCTTCTTCGCGTCCGCGTACACTGGACTGCGTTCGCGTAGCTTGCCAGACTTCCTTCATCGCGATCGCGTGAAGCTCCACGCGTTCGCATAGACCAAATTCCTGGACCCCAGCATTTTTCTTCTCCGCGTTCGCGATACCCGTCTCGTGATCGCGATGGCCAATTAGTGTTACCCTTCGCGAACGCGACCTTCCTTCCGCGAACGCGAAGGGCAATTTTGCCCAGTGATTTTAAATACCCAAAACAGAACAGTGACGGGATTTTTCACCCAAAAACACACGAACTCATCTTCTCCACAGCCCATAGGCGATTTCTAGAGCTCTTCTTCACCAAAGCTTCTTGGGTAAGTATTATTTAACTTATTTCCTTCATTTTCCTTCATCATTTATCAAATTCTTAGGCTCAAATCATGTAATTTAGGGTAGAAATTGGGGGAAATGGGTAGAGTTAGGGCTTTTTGATTTTCTTGATTTAGACCTCGTTTTGGGGTCGAATTTGAAAACAAATTGTATATCCGGGCTCGTGGGGGAATGGGTGATGTGAAATTGGTTCGAACCTCGGGTTTTGACCAAGCGGGCCCGGGGTCGATTTTTGGAATTTTGGGAAGAAAGCTTAGAAAACTATATTTAGGCATTGGGTTTGATTTGTTTAGCTTATATTAATATTGTAAAATCGTTATTTCATAGATTTGGTTGAGTTGGAGCCGAATTCGAGAGGGAAAACGGTCGTTGTGGATTGATTTAGCCGTGGAAGTTGAGGTAAGTGTTTGATTTAACCCTAACTTGAGGGAATAGGAGTAGAGTCTTATTTTTTACTGCTATTTGTCGAGTACGGTGTATAAGCATGGTGACGAGTATCTATACACTGGTGTCGAGCATGACCGTGAGTCCTAAGTTGCTAAATTATCGAATTTGTAATTGTTATTTATGAGGAATTGGTTGGAAATCTTTAACACTGAGCCAGTAACTGTTGAGACTAAGTGTGGATTTAATTGTGTTAAGTAGAGATTGAATGAGTTTGGTTATAGCTGGATCTCCTTGCCGGGATAGTTATTATAACATCTTTCTCCCTTGCCGGGACTATGTTGTGTATTGTGTTGAAAGAAATAGGATCGTGTGGCACGCCGACCCCGAGATATTATGAAATGGGATCGTTTGGCACGCCGACCACGAGTTATTATGAAATGGGATCGTGTGGCACGCCGACCACGAGATATTATGAAATGGGATTGTGTGGCACGCCGACCACGAGTTATTATGAAATGGGATCGTGTGGCACGCCGACCACGAGTTATTATGAAATGGGAACGTGTGGCACACCGACCACGTGATATTATTGTAATGGGAGCGTGTGGTACGCCTACCATGTGATGTAAGGAAATGGGATCGTGTTGCACGCCTGCAATGAGAGGAAATTGAAATAAGTGGAAGTGGTTTGTTTTTCCTTTATTCTGTATTAGAAGAAATCAGATGTAGTTCTCTTGTTATTCCTGATATTCCGTTTATCTGTTTCCCCATAAGCATGTTTCCCCCCTCCTAGCTTTAATTGCTTACTTTCCGCTATTATTTTGTTGTACTTGTATATATATATCCGCACAGGTTTATCTGGCAGTCTGGTCTAGCCTCGTCACTACTTCGCCGGGGTTAGGCTAGGCACTTACCAGCACATGGGGTCGGTTGTGCTGATGCTACACTCTGTGCATCTTTTTGCACAGATCACAGTACCGGAGCAGCAACTTTTGGTCAGTAGTAGGAGCATTTGGGAGCTGACTTCAGTCCAGAGATCCCGAGGTAGCCTTGTTGACGTCCGCATGGCCCGGAGTCTCTTCTATCTTTACTTTAGTTTGTTATCCTTTGTACCGGAACAAACAGAACTATGATTTTATTCAGACTTTGTATTTAGCATTCTCTAGACGTTCGTGAGTCTGTGACTCCAGTTCTTGGGTAGAGTTGTATTGAACTTCCGCATTGTTCTCCGTTTATTTATGTTTAAGACTTCCGCTTTTATATTAAATGCTTCGTTGTTTTTATTAATGTCGAGGTTTGCTAAAAGAGATAATAAATAGTTGGCTTGCCTAGCTCCTAATAGTAGGCGCTATCACGACTCCCGAGGGTGGAAAATCCGGGTCGTGACAGCTGGAATAACAAAATAATGAGTATAGTAAAAAAATTAATTAGAATAATTTATTAATAACAATAATTTTAGTATTGACAACAAAAAATTCAAAAAATTATTTACACAATTCAGAATGAAAGAAAATAAAGGTTGTAAAATATATATTCCATGCACGTAATAAAAAATAATTATTAAAATAAATTTATTTTTATAATTTACACTATATATTCTTGAAAATTATGCTAAATTATATTACTATTATATTTATACCAACTTCCCGATGACACAAAGTTATGTCACCTGAAAGTAGGGGGACTATAGGTAAAATATGCTATGTTAAGGGGGATTATATATTATTGAAAATCCGAGTCGTGCATGGAATATATATATAATATAATTGAGCATAACTTTCAAGAATATATAATGTATATCATAAAAATACTTTTATTTAAATAATTATTTTTATATTACATGCATGGAATATATATTTACAACCTTTCTTTCCTTCTGAATTGTGTAAATAAATTTTGAATTTTTGTTGTTAATACTAAAATTATTATTACTAACAAATTATTCTAATTAATTTTTTTTACTATGCTCATTATTTTGTTATTCCAGCATTATAGATGCTTAAATACTTTTTTTTTAATTTATAAATAATATTTATTTATTTTATAGGTAAGTCCATAATATAAATTAAAAAGAAAAAATCATAATATTAAAAAGTTTTAAAAAAATAAAAGAAGATAAATATTTATAATTTAGAGGGTAAAATAGGTATTTGGCAATCCAACATTTGGAAAATCTAGTTGAGTGACCTTCTGAGTGCAATATGCATAGTTCAGTGACTTTGTTGTTACAAACGAAAGAAAAGTGACTTTAGGAGATAATTTGAGATAGTTGAGTGACCATTTAAGTAATTTACTCGTAGGTTCGCTCAGTACATTTTCTCAAATTCTTTATGGCGTTTTGCATTTATTTTCTCTGTAGTCAGGAAAATGAAAAGTTGACTCTGATTAATATCACATGAAAATCCATTCTCATGATTTTTGTCTAAATTAATATAGTATGTTTTTCGAATAAACAACTGCATTTACTACAATATTATGACATGTTGGTATATGAACTCGCCCTTAATACTAGTCTAAATTATCCTCTATAATTGTTTATGCTACCTTATAAGCTTTAGTTTTGAGCTAAAGCCGACCATATTAGCCCATTCACTACTTTCAATAACCAAATTTATATTTAAAACTTTTGTTTTAGTGATAGCTAAAAAAATTAAAATTTCTCCGAAATAAATAAATTTGAGTTGTATATGTTGTATTGAAACATTTTGTTATAATAATTCAAAAAAAAAAAAAAGAAAATGACTATTTAAAATTTATATTATTTTTAAAATATAAGAAAATATTATGTCATACGTTTTCATTTAGTAAGTTATGAAGTTTTAAGATATTACCGCAAGGGTTGTGGTGGAGTGATAATTATTTTTTCATTCTTAATCATAGGTCTTGGGTTTGAACCTTAGGTATGACGTTGCTTTTGTTAGGGAGCACTTTAACCTCCAATGTATGACTTTCCAGTGCGAATCTAGATTTAGTCAGGCCCCAATGCGGATACCGAATACTGGATGGGAAATCAAAAAAAAGTTTAAGATATTAATTTGATATATGTATTATAGTGGTGACAATTGCAGAAAAAATGTTAAAGTCATTATTGAAAAGTTAAGTTAATAGAAAAAATATTGTATCATATTAAAATTTAAATCTTGAAATATTATATGAGTTATTGGTTCTAAAAGTTGTGGATGTTGTATAGAATCAGTGTGTTCCAAAAATCATATGAAACATTTTGAAATGTTTCATATTGAAAAAGTGTCATATTGAATTGAAAGGATGAAAAATAATATCGTATAGCCGCTTTCACAATAATATAGATAGATTTTTTTAATAAAAAATTATACCTATTTATATATAATTAATATTTTTTTTATCTATATGTAGTAGTGTATTTCCTTGACACAATTAAGAGCTTTTGTGGCCTTTTCTTTTTTAATAAATAATTTCTTTAATAAAATCCTAATTTTGCCGCTGGCCCCACGTACAATAATACCTGCAGCTGACACTCTTCCACCCCCTTCACCCCACGGTTGCAATTACTACTATTTCTTTCATAAACAAACGTAAAGTGGACTCTTCCATTCTCTCTTCTTTCCCCTTTTCCTCTTAGAAAAAGTCACATACTATACTACCCTAAAAGAAGTTGAGCAACGGGTAAAGTTGTTGTCATGTGAACAGAATGTGATGGATTCGGGCCGTAGAAATAGATTCTTGCAAAAATACAGGATAAGACTGCGTAGGATGATAGACTCTTGTGGTCCGACCATTCTCCTTCTCCGGACCCCACGCATAGTGATAGCTGGCTGCCCTTTTTTTTATACTACCCTATAAACACCTACACATAATACCCTCATTCCCTATTCATTTCATTTCCTACACATCAAAAACCTCTACAAAAAACCAGTTCTTTTCCTCGAATAAATCAAGAATTTCAAGAAACCATGAAAGATAGAGGCAAAGCTGCAGCTGTAGACAACAACTTGTTAGATTTCAATTACTCTATTTCATCAGATATGCCATGTACCAAACACCCAAATTCATCTACTATTGGAATCTGCAGTTACTGTTTAAAAGACAGATTGGTAAATTTGGTATGTACTGAATGTGGTGAGCAAAGACTCTCTTCTTGTTCTTGCTCTGATGATATTTCTTCTTCTTATGGAAATTCTTGTTCTGTTGAAGTTGGTAGTGTTGGTAGAATCTCATTTTTATTAGAAAATGAGAAAAATACTGATCAAGATCAACCAATTCAGCAGTCAGAACAAGTGATCTTGCTAAGAAGTAGCAGCAACTGTGTAGAAATCAAGAAAAGTAAAAATGGTTTTTGGAAAATCAAGAGATTGTTTAAAAAGAAAAGAGAAAAGGGTAAAAATGGGGTTGATGAAAAAAGTGATATTTGTATATCTGATGCAGTTATGGGAGTTTCAAGATCAAGATCATTATGTAGTTTTAGAGGTGATGATTTTGGTAGTGAATATAGATTTTCAAGTGCAAAAATTTCTGATGTTACAGGTGGTTTGTTATTTGATTCTGATCATGAGCCAAGAAAGAGTGGATTTAGAGGTTTTTCAGATGCTGAAAATGGTAATAATTTCAAGAATTTTAATGTTCCAAACAAAGGAATTAATATTTTTCCTGTTAAGGAAAGTGATTTTAGTACTACAATGGATGATTCAGCATTTATAGATTTGAAGCTTGATTTATCATCAGAACCAAGATCAGATTTTTGTGGCAAAAGAGTAAGTAATAGTTCAGATTATGGATATGATTCTGCAGCTTCAATTGGGAATTTAAGAGGTGGATCTTGTAGAATTAATGAATATGACACAAGGATGAGAAGAGGTAGTAGTAGTAGTAATGGCAAAGGGAAGAAAGTGTGGAAATGGATTTTTAGAAAAACAATTTCAGATGGGAGGAAAAGTACAAGTAAAAGAGATGATGAAATTAATAGTAATTTGATATTTAAGTCTTAAGAGTTCTTGAAATAATAAAGATTTGTAATGAACTCTTTTGGTTATGTTTGTTTGTGTATAGCACTAGATTTGATTTAGAAGGGGATCTTTTGCGCAAGAGTAATTGTTGTTTTCGTGTGATCTTTAGGTTACGCCTCTTGCAAAATGCAAGATGAGATTGCGGTATAAGATTTAATGTGATTCGATCGTATATCCCAATCAGCTTGGAGTTTAGTGCATCGAACTACTTTTAGCACTAGCTCATGTTTAGAGGGTAATTTTGAATAGGAAGCAAGACTTTGTAGTAGTAAGAAAAGTAAATACAAACTTTACCTATTTCTCTGCTTTTATTTGCTTTCTTTTTTCTCTTTGGGTGTATTTGATTCTCTTTGGCTTTTTTTTTTTTTTCTTCCTTTTCCTAAATTATGTTTGTTGGTGAGCTAAAAGAAAACCAACAAGGTAAGCATCTCAAGAAAGATATTATCTTTTGCTTTTAATTTTGTATTGTCATAAGAAAATGAAGTGTAATTATTTAGAATTTCTTTAGTACTTGAAAGTGATAATAGCTCTATTATGTTACTCCTGTTAACTTGATCATCAAATTTGATCAAATTATTCAGTTTCACAATAATCTTGTCATTTTCTAATCTGAAAATAGGACTCATATCTTGCACAACTTCTGTTTAAATAATTTTATCATGGCAAATTTGAGAAACAACATTAATATTGTTAGCTAAATTTTGTAGGCTGGAATAATATTCCGATTTTAGATATATGGCAGCCCGTTGCACATACCATCTCGCATTCATGCATGGTTCACGGGAATGGCCGCATCCCTTAGGGATCGGACAGCCTACCCTAACGCAAGCACTAATGACTGTTTTTATAGCTCGAACCGGTAACCTATAGATTATGCGGAGACAACTTTATCGTCTCTCCAAAGTTACCCTTCAGATTTCAGATATATGGAATCTGAAATCTGAATGAATGGCATGAATGTGGGTCAATTCACAGAGGTTTGAGAGTCATTTTCAGAAAATGAGAACTGACCCTCTAAATGGGCTTTAACCACAAATGGTTTTGTGGTCCAAATCTGTACTAAAAAAAAAGAGTTTTTTACGTGCTTGATCCTTTTTTAACTATTATTTATAAAAATAGCACCATTTATTGTTTATTTCATAAAGAGCACTTTTTTTTCATTAATGACACATTATAAAAATTAAGCTCAACATCTAATAAGTTAACTCACTCACTAATCACGGGAAGTACTTTTTTTGTCCATCTTCATTTTCCCTTTACAGCATTCATCTTCTTCACTCCATATTTTGAAAAGCTGCTGCATATCTCAATGCCACCTAATCAAGATGTATTGATTTATACATCTTTTATACTCTGTATATCAGGTATCACTTTAATTCAAAATGTATATTTATGTATATGTTTTTTGTATATTTATTTGTGAAATGCTATCTTATTTTAAGCGGTATTTTAATGTATATTATATTTTATATGTCAAGTGTCATTATATATATATATATTATTTTTTGTATATTTATATACCATCTTAATTAAATTTAAGATATATATTTTTATGTATATTTCACATGTCTAAGTGTCATCTTAATTGAAGATGTATTTTTTATGTATTTGTTTTGTATATTTTATATGTGTTAATTCAAAGTATGTTTTTATATATATATGTATTGTATATATTAACGTATATTATTATCGAAATAAGAGCTTTATATTAAGAAAGGAAGAAAGAAGTAAGAGAAAAACTTAAGAAAGATAACTAAAAATAAAATGAATGGAACAAATTTAAAAAATATATTGGCTTCGGTAGAAAACAAAACTAAGAAGATGAAGAAAAATAAGGAAAGCTAATAGATAAAGAGAGAGAAAAAGACATGATTTTTGTAAATAATTATTAACTTTCCATTCAAATTTCTTATGTTTAGGGATTAATAGTTAATATTTCTATTTTAATGGAACTGTGTGCTACAAATATAAATATTTTCCTGCCATATCTGTAATATTAAATTTAATGCTAAAAATTTGTAATATTTCTTTTAAACTGTGACAGTTATGTAAAGTCCCAAAAAACATTTAAAAACCCAAATCTAAACCATTACCCTACCTTTAGATCTTGTTGGTATGATAAAATTTTGTTTTTGCATAAAAAGAAGCGTTTTGCTCCTTGTCTTTCTCTCCTTTTCTTTTTTCTTTTTCTGATTTGGGACCGATCTTTGATCTTGACACTACATAATTTTGCACGAGAAATGCTTTTGATTGTTAAATAAAAAGAAAAATAGAAGTGGATGATAGATAAATTTGAAAGAAATTTAACGTTTGCTATAAACAGCAGTGACTACATATTTATTTTTTATTTAGAAAATTTCTTTGAAGACAGTTGTTCAAAGCGTCTGATGTACATAATATCATCAAGCCTCTGAGGGCATCCCATCATATCGCCTCGGCCACTGTGGGCAACATCATCAACATATACTTGTTGATCAGGTGGTGCGTATATAATGCCGTAACCTTTTCCCATATCCAATATACATATATTTATATATATACGCGTATATAACGCCATCTGGTCATGGGCCAATGTACATGTATAAATGGGTGAAATGCATGAAAAATAGGTAATAATCTCAATATTCCTTTCGGATAAACTTTTTCAACTGCGTAATTTTGTGAGACCCATGAACAGAATATAATAACAATTCACATGGGGAACTAAGAATATAGACACCCTTAGTATTTCTATTAATAGAGTAATTTATGAAAACTGTGAGTTTGCTCGTTTCTTCTGCATAATTCGGACCATGCCAAATGAAAGAAGGGATGACCTTAACATACCTGGAGTAGGAAAAACTCCGTAAAATATGCCGTTGGAAACCTTCGTGGATTGAACTTAAAACTCCAAAAATCGAATTATGCTTCTGCTTTTTGAAATTTTTGAACGAAATTAGCTCCTTCTTTTTGAAATTCTTGAACGAAATTTGCTTCTGCTTCTTTGAATCTTTTTGGAACAAATTGAGTTTCTTATTCTTGAAGTCTTTGGACTAAGAAAAATGGGATAGATCCTTGAAGCTTTTTGGAACATCAAACCAAGAAAGGATTAACGTTTTTTTGTTCTCTTTCTGTCCAGTATGGAAATATAACAAGACTTGTTATAAGTCTTGTTTTGTTAATCATTAAATTCCCATTTAAGCTTATGTAGCCACCTAGGCATAAATGACCACTTAGTCATTTCTAGATTTGTGGCTTCTTGCCACATGTTAGGTATGTAATTTATTAATTTCTATCTACTTATTAGTTAACCGGATAATGTTCCGTTACCCGATAATTAACCAATTATCCATATAATTAAAAATTATCTCAATTTACCTAAAAATACTACTCATTTTTAATATACTTTATAAATAATTAACCAATTATCCATATAATTTCATGATATTAAAAGCGTCTTAGTAGCGGGGCTTCAATCTTATTCGTAAGACCACAATTTTTTTTCCACCCAATGTTCGATACCTACTTTGAGAGCACCGACTAATACTATGTAATGTCTATTAAAGATGGAAGCGCCTTCTATTAAGAGTCTTTTTATTCCTAAAGCTCAAACCCGAAATATCTAATTAAAATTTGAGGTATTCTATTTGTCCAACCACACCTCTTGACGATAGACTAAGCTATCGTTTAGCCATAGATCCCAAATTTATTTTGAAAAATCTGATTTGGGTGAAGTTTGGTTTGAAGATGAAAATGTGTTTGGTCATACGTTTTCAAAACATATTTCCCAACTTTATTTTGGAAAAACATGTACTATATAATTCCCAAGTTTTGGGATTTTGGCCCAAAATCAGCAATTGGGGTGATTTTTATAATTTGGGGTATGGGATTTGAGATTTTGCCAAAATGTGGGCAAAATTTGTGGCCAAACATGAATTTTGAAAATAAATCCCAAATTTATTTTGGGAAAACTCATGGCCAAACGGGGCCTAAGACTCCATTTAATGTAGAGAAATCTAGCAAAAGATTTGAATACACCCTCCCCCTCCCAACATACACTTTTTTGGGCAATATACATGCATTCATATTTTTCATATGTGTCTCGTTTTGCATATTATTATTTTTTCCACCACATAAGTTACTATTTTGCATGCATTAAAACACGACCGAACTTGATCCAAGAAAATGGTACACCCCATGTCCCAAATTACAATTCTTTCAATTTTTATCATGATTCGTTCCTATGTTAAAATAAGAAAAACTCTGAAACTCTAAATTTCAATATAGGTAAAATTCTTAATGTAGCTCTAGTTATTCACATTTAATTTTCACGTTTTGATTTAATTTTTCATAAATTCAATATGCATCACATCAAAATCCAAATTGCTTGACGATAAAAACATTGCTTTTTTTTTTTTTTGGGTAATTATCATATTTTATTACCAAAGCACGAAAATTACAGCTCAAAGAACAAAACACCACTAAGTCTGGATATCTTCCCAGGCCTTAGTATCACTCAAACTATAGGGGTGTTCAAAACCGAATCGAAACCGAAAATTGACCGAAATCGAAGCTTAATGGCTTATTGGTATCGGGTTAACGGTTTAACGGACGGGGAATGGATTGAATTTTTTTCATTAACGACTTATCGGTTTGGGGGCGGATTATTCAATTTTCTTAACGGATAATCCGTTAACCCGTTAAGAATATATATATATATATATATATATATATATATATATATATATATATATATATATGTCTTCCACTCTTCCACTATAATTATCTCAACGTCTGACTCTCAACCATCAAACTGCAGCCTTTGCCCGCCCTCTCTCATCTACTTACATGATGGTCACTGTTACTACTGATCTAAAGCTGAACGAAAGGGATAACCCGACAACCTTGGAGGAGATGTTGCTCCAATTGGACATGGGGGAGAAAATGGCAAGAAGAGAAAGGCTGAACGAATATGGGCAGCATAGAATGTCTTGTGTCAACAGTTCAGACATTCTTCGAACTGCAAGGAACGCGCTAACCAGTATCCCCGCTTTTCTCTGGATGGCAAAGATGCCATGTACCGGCCTTCTCTCCATGATGTGTCTCCTTTGCTAACCACAAGTCTTGGTGTAAGAAAATCAATATAGATTGAATTAGGCCGATAAACCGCTCGATAAGAGCTAAACCGATACCAATCCGCCTGATATCTTATCGGGTGGCTAGAGGATTAATACATTTAAAAGCCGATAACCGATAAGCCAAACCGTTAAGAGTAAATAATCGCCCAATCCGCCCGATAATCAGCCATAACTCAAACTCCCTATACTACCTG